TACTCCTTGAACTTTTACAATATGTTAATTTAAATCCTTTTGTTCACAGAATCGCCAATTACAAATAATCTAAAACCTAACATATTTGACGATGAGCCAAATATTTATGAAAACTGTACATAAGGTTATGGTCCCCAATGCATATGCAACTTCTCATTCTTTGTGCCTCCAATTAACATATGAATAATTAAGAGAAAACATAATGAAGAGGAAGATCCAATACACACAATCATTATCTTAACCACTAATCAACTATCAAGAATCAAGAAGAAGGAATTCAAGAATAAAAACTATGGATCAAGAAGAAAAACCAATAACAAGAATTAAAGAATCAAGGAGACAAAATTCAAAATTAAAAGTGAATAACACAAACATGAAAAGATTGAGTTGATTTTCAAAATTCAAAATCCAGAATCAAGATCTAGTAATAAAGACATTCCCTAAGATTCGCATTTAATAATTCTGTGAGTATTTTGACATGAAGGATCTTGACAATTAAGTAATAAGTTTTCAATTTCATGAAGTTTAAAGTTTCATAAAATTCTAACATTTTGTGAGCAGGACATAAGACCTTAATTTTGTGATAAGAGGCAATCAGCAACAAATCATTGATGTGAATGAATATTTTCCACAAAAGAAAAGGCAAATTCAATGCTACTAGGACCTACTAAAAGAAGATAACTCAAATTAATTTTTTTTTCTCACTTTTCTATCAGCACAATTTATGTCTCTAGGTTTATATTATAAAACTTCCCCTTATCGTTTTTTGGAGTGAGATCAAGGTTATTTTGAGTTGAATCTCCAACATATTCTATGGATTCACTACTTATATTATTTTAAACACTCCTAACAAGGATTGTTCAACTAAGTCACTAAACTTTAATTTTTTATCAATAGTACATCCAATCCCATTTGAAAAATTAACGTTGTTGTTGAGGTAAAAAAGTAACAATTATTTTAGAACAAAACCACTGTGTTTGGTTTGGATAAAAAATTAATTTAGATTTTCATAAAAATTGGTGAAATGTGTAATTGAAAAGTTGATAAAAATTGTGGATCCCATCAAATATGTGGTTGAAAATGAATTTAGAAAAAAATGTGAATTTTAAAAATAGAGGTCAAACACGGCTATTTAACTTATATTTCAACTTTAAGGAGCAAGTTTCGAATTCTTCTTTTTTGATAATTTGTTCGTTCCTTTCTATTGGAGATACTTGGAGATGTATATCAGATTTGAAACTACCACCATGGTTAGCAGTTTTAATGGATCATCCAATTTGACACTGAAATTAACCCCTCTAACGATGAGAAGTTAAAAGAAGTTCTAAAACATGGTCTTGTCTATTATGTTAAGTCACAAAAAATTGCCTGAAGTTGAAAATCTTCCATCCTATAATTTATTGGTCTGTGGAGATACCGACAGTATTCTTGATGCATAATATAATTCTTCCTCTTGGGATTTTGACCTATTTAAGGAAGACCGGATTGCGAGTTCTATCGATTTACATTAAAAAGACACTTATTAGTTATTTGATTCTAATTTCATAAATGAGTGAATTAATTGGATTAAGTCGGTCTTACCTTTTAATTAATTTTTTTCTAACTATTAGAATAACAAAAAATTATAATGCACTGGTGGTTCGCAAATGGTAGGATAAATTTGACCTCAAAATATCTCATCTCAAGAATCCGACCGATATAGGAGGAGGGTTTGTTTAATGCACGTTGGTAAGTCTCTCGATATGTAGGTGACTTTTTTATTTTTTAAATTTTATTACTTTTCAATGAATTAACCAATTTGACGATCTATAAATAATTTTATTCACATAAAAAAAATAATAAGATGACAATTTAAAAAAAAAAATTAGAAGAAAGGATTGAAAAAGTGCATAATCTGCTCAGGAACATGGAGAGAGCAATGGCCGAAGCTAGTCTCCCGATTATCCTATCCTACATCCTTTAAAAGAGTGAATGGAGTTGCACTGTTCATTTATGGGCTGCCTAAGCATTCACACTTGACTGGTTCAATACCGTGCATCCAAGAGCTTCTCATTGTTCACAAATATCAATAAAATATCTTTTGTATACATACCTTTTGTACTATTTATTCATTTGCACGCTACTTCTCTCTTCGAAACCCTTCTCTGATTTTCACACACTTTCCAATGAAATTCTAAATGGTAGCTTTTAATCCTGGAGAAAGATCTGCGTTAAAAAAGATCCTACTTCCTTTGAAAGAGTGAATGGAGTTGCATTGTTCATTTATGGGCCTAAGCATTCACACTTGACTGGTTCAATACCGTGCATCCAAAAGCTTCTCATTGTTCACAAATATCAATAAAATATCTTTTGTATACATACCTTTTGTATTACCTTTTATACTATTTATTCATTTGCACGCTACTTCTCTCTAAGAAACTCTTTGATTTTCACACCTTCCAATGAAATTCTAAGTGGTAGCTTTTAATCCTGGAGAAGATCTGAGTTAAAAAAGATCCTACTTCCTTTGAAAGAGTGAATGGAGTTGCACTGTTCATTTATGGGCCTAAGCATTCACACTTGACTGGTTCAATACCGTGGATCCGAAAAAATCATTGTTGATGAATATCAGTAAAATATCTTTTGTATACATACCTTTTGTATTACCTTTTATACTATTCATTCATTTGCACAATACTTCTCTCTTCGAAACCTTCTCTAATTTTCACACACCTTCCAATGAAATCCTAAGGGGTAGCTTTTAATCCTGGAGAATATCTGAGTTAAAAAAAAAGAGGTAAACAAATGGCACTACAAGAAAAAAATAGGCCTTTTGCAACATGCAAAAGGCAACATTCATCAATTGCATGTTGCTAA